ATTCCCCAGAAGCAACCAAAAATAGTTCCCTACTCTGAACCCTAATCAAAAGCAGGATTTTGTATACAAATTGAAGGAAGGTCTAGATTGTCAATCAGCACGATTACCGTGCATTACAACTACTACTTGACTAACATTCCGAGAGAGTATCAGCGTAGAAGAATTGTAGTCCTCATGAAATATATATGATCTCACAAGGCAGCCATGTAATATACCCTATACCTGTCATGTAAAAGCCTTCGGAGATAATGCTCGGGGCTCGGGGGTGATGCATGTCCGAGCTAGTATATAGCTTGGAATTAGGTCTCGAGATGGATCACACCAAAAGGTCGGTCAATACGTTAAATCAGCTTCTCAATACATTCTGAGGTTCATCTTGTATCCAGAAATCGCCAAGAAAGCAGGTAAATAAAAATATGTTGCGGTCACTCCTCTCGCTCGGCAGCCGCCACGACTATATCTTCCCCACGGTAGATCCAAAACAGGATGGACCGAACTGCAAACTAGATTGTGCCGATTGTACGGTGCACTTCCCGTCAAAGGTGAAGGTCGAGAACTCCCGAATCCTCTACGGACACATCAAAGAGTTTCACACGCACGTCTTGGTCGCCACGGGCAAATCAGACTGGACGGAGAGGGTCGAGAATGAAAAGGGAAGCTTAATGGAAGCTTTCGACAGCAGTTCCAACAAATCCAAGCATGGGGTATGTGCATCCACCATGAACTCCACCTTTCTTGATACGATCTAACAAAACTAGCGGATTATGGTCTCGGCATCGAATCTCAGGAACCCGAATAATGAAGCAGATGACGATAATCAGACTACGCAAGGGACGACCGTGCTGCTTCTACCTTCATTCACCTTCGTGGATTCAGTAACTACTGGCGACGTCAGAGAGGTGGTTGACTGCTTCATTGATGCCTCCAAAGGACAGCCAGTTGGTTCCCGATTGCCCTCTCGACCATGCCAATACGACTACGTGGTCCTTCTCTGCTCTCATAGGCGGCGAGATGCGCGATGTGGAATTACTGCCCCGCTAATTAAGAAAGAATTAGAGCGACATCTGCGACCCCAGGGGTTGTATCGTGATGCGGCTGACGAGCGCCCAGGTGGTGTTGGAATCTTCTTTGTTTCCCACGTGGGCGGCCACAAATTTTCAGCCAATGTTCTGATCTACCGAAAACAGGCAGAGCAAATGATTTGGCTAGCAAGAGTCAAGCCAGAACATTGTGAAGGGGTTGTCAACTATACAATCTTGCAGGGGAAGGTTGTTCACCCCGAGTCTCAGTTAAGAGGAGGGTTTGACAGGCAGCGGGGATTGACGAGTTGGTAGTGATAGCAGATCATATTGTTCTGCTTGGGTGCGAATATAGCAGTATAAAATTATAATAGTGGGATAGATAGATTGATAATGATAATGATAATGATGGTATCGATGTCAAGCGAGGTTCCCGAAAGAACTGCAGAAACCCAAAACACGTTACGTCATAAAACCGCGTTAATTGATTTCGCGCACGCGACAAAAAAAGGAACCAACGGCGGGACTCCGATTAGAGGAAAATGAATAAATGCGGACTGGCCGCATTGGCTTTCCATACGCAGTCCTGGCACGACCACGACTTACCACCGTTACCATCGGTCCCTTTACTACCATAACAAATATTGAAATTGAACTGCATTTTTGTATAATTTGTCCAGTATAATCTGTCCACTATTCTCACCCTTCTCTAAATCCTTCTACGACATGCGATAATGGCGAGTGTCGAGGTTTCCGATATTGCGGCGCAGTCAGCGCAACTCCGTGCAGAACTAAAGGACTGGGAAAGAGCTTTCGCCGCCGCAAATGAGGGAAGAAAAGCGGACCGGAGCGATATCAAGCAAGCGCCCGAGATTGGTGTGTAACGAATTACCTAGTCACCGTGCAACTCGCTTCCACTCTGTTAGCGTCATGAGCTAACTTTCCTTGTCTGTGCCAGCGGCCAAGTATAAGGAATACTCTCGATTGAAATCGCTGGAGAAATCAGTTCGATACGAGAAGAAACACAATCCCAATTCGGTTAACTTGCAAGAGCGCCCCAAGAAACGCAAGCATGCATCACCCCCTGGATCCCATGAGACCCGCCTTGAATCCACGCCTCGCAAGGCGGCCAAAGGACTCTTCACGACCCCCTCCAAGCAGCGTGGACATCCATCGGAAGTTGATCCCTATGATTCTCCGTCAGCCCTGCGCAGGCTGTTCAGCCCATCGACGCATCAACAGTCGTCACCATTGAAGACAGCCATTGGACCCACTCCTCAAAGAGATGGAAAGGCACTCGGTCTTTTCGACCTACTATCCGAATCGGGCGGAAGTACAGCGACCCCAACGGCGGCAAGGCTGGCCAGTGTACGTGGAGCGGCGGCGCAGACCCCATCGAAAAGAAGGACACTGGATACCATTGCGGAGGAAGAGGAAGAGGAAGAGGAAGACAGTCCACGAGGGGACCGGACACCTGCTTCCGCAAGCAAGAGTTATATGCTTTCGGCTTTATTTGCGACACCGACAACATGGCGTTACGCTACCATGATGGACAATCGGAACGATGCGATTCGCCGTGAACCTTCGCCTCAGCCGAGCGCTAACGACCCTGGCCGAGGAGCGCCGGAGTCAGAGACTCCAGCATTCTTGCGACGATCCAACTCAGCACGCTACGCTGCGTCAAATCCCACCGGTGAAGGCCTGAGCCCAATCAATGTACGAAAAAGACCCCAGTTTGTAGGCAAAGGACTCTCTGCCTTGGTACAAGGACTACGAGACATGGAAGAAGAGCGTCTGGAGGATGAGTTAGACGTACTCCGCGAGATAGAAGCAGAACAAGCCGGCCTAAATGCGGAAGCGATTGATAGTCAGACTGCCGACCAGGATCCGGGACCAACGTTTAAGAAGAAAGGGCAAAAGCGAACGACACGAAGGGTTCGCATGAAGCCGGTGGTCTCCAAGCCAAAACGCGAGTCACAGTTACCAGTGTCAGATGATGAAGATGTTACCGATAATGTGGACCAAAACGATGATGAGCTGGCGGCGGTGCCAGAAACGCAGCAGCCAGGTGCCACTGGCGACGAGACCCATGATGTTCCAGATGCCGCTTCGCTGCATTCAATCTCAGAGGCGGAGCTTGATTCTGGTTCTGATTCAGATTACGAGGAGCAATCTAAGCCCCCCGCTAGAAGCAAAAGCTTTTCGGAAAGGATAAGGGATGCCATCGGGGCTGTAGAGCCGCCACCCACAAAGAAGCGGGAGAAACCCCAGCCTCAAGTGAAAGAGAGACAAACTAAGCCTCGCGAGAGGAAGGTCAATCCCGAGGCGCATGCAAATTACCGGTCACTGAAGCTCAGAAATAAGAACTCGAAAGGCAGAGGCGCAGGGCGCTTCGGTAGGAGACGATGAAGAACAATGCCTAGTGAACACCAGCATCATTTATGAGAAACGACTACAGCATATTCAGAGATACCACATTAGAAATATTATACAGTTTTATTCTATATAACCTCTTTACATGCCATGTGATTCGTAACTTCATCAAACCTGTATAGAATGCTTTATGCGTGGCATAACCGTCAATCTGGGACATAGCGGTCCCGTGCGTATTGTATTCTTCGCGCTTGGGCTACGGCATCACGAGATCTTTCCCGATGTTGTGGTCTACGAGAGGGCGGTGGTCTTGAAACCCTCCCATGAACAACGCGGTCATTATTCCTGTATACCGGGGACGTTGTACGATCGGACAGCTGAGGTCCTGGACGAGATCTAAATGAAGCTGTCCTCCTGTTCGGATCATCATACTGAACATTGCGGTCCCAGTCCGATAGTGATGTATAGGGGCTTCGAAGCCATGCCTGCAACTCATGCAAGAACAAGCGTGCATTATCTCGGCCAAGGAAATCCTGCAAGAGAGACTCCGCTTGCCCAGCGCTGCCTTTAATGTCAACGGTGCGGAGAATGGCAATAATATACTCCAACAAGAATTCCGCATTGCTTCCTCGGCGGCTTTCGAGTCTTGCTTGTCCCGGACGAGCCACTGAACTCTGGCCCGGGCCTGCGTCTGTGCGGTGTAGAAAGTCGAAAACTTGCAGTTCCCTCCGTATCCAAGTACGAGCACGTGAAATAAGAGCCTCGTCATTTTGGAACTTTCCCGGCGTCAGTTCTTGGTATTGTGAAAGGCGATTCGATCCGACCCTTAGGGAATAAAGCTGGTGGCGATAGACATGTTGTCGTCGGCTCACCTCGTCATCGCGCGAAAGCGGAATTTGCCGTTGAACATGAGGCCGGGGGCGGCGCGCACGACGGTGAACACAATTTGGACGGGATATAGACGTGGTGTGGGTTGGGAGGGCTTCTGAAGGAGCTTCTAATCGATGGACCTTCGGGCCTTCGGGGCTATCTAGCTCATATTCTACCGCGGAAACGTCACTCTTGCCTAGACTCTAAATTAGAAAAGAACCTTTCAATTCCTTAAGGAGGATCATACAAAGCGGACAAATCCGACGGTTTTCTAGCCAGCTTAGAAGACACAGAAAGTCGTAATTCGCATGCCTGCAGGGAACCGCGACGGCAGGTTCTGAGATCAGTTCCAGACAAATGACGCACGGGTTGGCCACGCTGCCATCCGCTTCCTCCTGCGCTACCTCCTCCAGCGTTTTCTGCATGATTTCCTGCTGCAGGTCGACATTATCTGGTGACTGATGGGCCTCTGATGGGCCCGCGAGCGTAGTTTTCTCCCAGTTGTTGTTCATGGAGGTTCTCCAAGGGCGGTCCATCGTGGCAGTCGGAGTGTCGTTGGCGGAGGTCACGTTGCGGTCGGCTGCTGTCAGGGCAAAAATTCCTCCACGAATTTTTGATCCTCGTCCTTCGACTCGTACAACCGGTCGCCGTCACCAACACAGCAAATCTACGCTTGGCGACGGAGATGCACTAACGGGTTCGGTAGTCCAGGAGCATTTCAGAGGTCAGCGCAACAACATGAAGTCTGCAAGAGCCGTGGTAGCTGCGAATCACTCTGCCGCAATGGCGCGCGGCCAGGCAAACGGGTCCCTGACCCAGGAATACCAACGCCCCCCTTCACGCACTATTACAGGTTTGAGACGGTGGTCAATAATCAATCGAGATCTGCCACGTGAGTTGTCATTTCCTTTCCCCATACTTCATAGCATGTGGCTTCATTGCTAACTCCGTTGCCTCCGTCCGCACAACAGCCGTGCCGCACGTGAAAGCGATCCATGTCTACGACTTCGACAACACATGTAAGACTATACAACATAGCAGAGATCACCATACGGGTCTTGGGGTTAATATCACTCAGTGTTCCAGAGTCCTCTCCCTAATCCACAGTTATGGAACGGGCCGACCATCGGTTTTCTTCAAGCCTACGAGAGCTTCGCAAACGGGGGATGGTGGCATGACCCGAATCTACTTGCTGCCACTGGGGAAGGTGCTGAGAAAGAAGAAGCTCGTGGCTGGGAAGGATGGTGGAATGAGCAAATCGTGCGGCTCACGTACACTGAACTAAGACTAGCATGTGGACTGATAGGTCGTAGGTACAATTGGTCAAGCTCAGCATGCAGCAGAAAGATGCATTGACAGTGCTACTCACTGGCCGAAGCGAGGGCGGCTTTGCAAGCCTTGTCCGGCGAATAGTTGACAGTAGGAAACTGGAGTTTGACCTCATTTGCCTCAAGCCGGAGGTTGGGCCAAACAGCGAGCGGTTCTCAACTACCATGGAGTTCAAGCAATCTTTTCTTGAAGACCTTATTCTCACATATAGCCAGGCCGACGAAATACGTGTTTACGAGGACCGTGTGAAACAGTGAGTGCAATATCCCTCTCTGTATCAATTTTGCTGTTAACGCAAGCCCAGTGTTAAACATTTCCGAGAGTTCTTTGAGCAGCTGAACCGGAGGTTTCAGACTGCGCAGAATCCCTCTCCCAGAAAAGCAGTTAATGCGGAAGTGATACAGGTAGCGGAAGGGGCTGCGTTTCTGTCGCCGGTGATTGAAACAGCCGAAGTACAACGTATGATCAATTCTCACAACGATGCTGTCCGCAACCGGTCAGGCAATGGTACAAAGTCGCCGTATGGCCCCCTGTGCATTAAGCGCACCATCTTCTACACCGGGTACCTCATATCAAATGCGGACTCGAGTCGCTTGATCAGTCAAACACTGAACCCAATGCTGCCCTCGGGGCTTGCTGATTCTAATGACCTTAAGTACATGGCTAACAGTATACTAATCACGCCTCGCCCTGCGCCTCGGTCAATTCTAGACAAGGTCGGCGGTCTTGGTAAGAAGCTGAAGTGGAAGGTTACCGGCACTGCAGTCTTTGAACATAGAGTCTGGGCTGCTCGGTTAACTCCGGTCCCAGCAACAGAGAAGTATTACACAGAAAACCCACAGCCCGTGGTAGTCTTAGCTGTGCGCAAAGGTGCCCGTCCTATTGACGCTGGCAAAATCCAAAACTGGCACCCTGTGCCTGCTGATAAAACTTTCACTTTTGAAACAGTCGTTGGCGAGAAAGTGGTTTTGCGTGTTGAAGAACAAAATCCCCATGAAGGAGAGTGGGAGAGCCAGTTTTTGAATAAGAATCACAAGAGACGTCATCCGCAAGATCGTGATGAAGACACTTCCTACGCAAATTCAGGCGGAACTGGCCAGGAAGGCCCATCAGGAAGGCCAGCACCCTACAACTCACGGCATGGTGGCCGCCATCATCACGAAGACGGTCCTCGCCGTGGCGGATCATATCGTGGACGTGGACGTGGGTCCGGTCCTAGAGGTAGAGGGCACTCAAACCGAGGGGGCCAACGTGGCAGAGGCCGTGGGCGCGACGCCGGACCTCCCCAAGGCTATAGATCGTTAGATGATTATACTGGATACGATGGGCCGTATGAAGAGAAGCCTGGTCCCGGGACTGGTGGCCCTGTGATGAACTACTAGACCCTCGTCTATTAGGCTTGCAGACCTTCGATTTGTTTTACCATCATTTATGATGTCCACATAGCGTTGATAGTTGCTCTTCTGGGCGCTTGTATGATTTTACTTAATCATTCTCCAGGCATATGTACCTCTGTTGGGCCTGGAAACTAATAGCAACCAGTCCTTCGTTGAATATCTTGCTTTTATGCCCTCCGACTCGTCGGGGATCCTTCTCTCAATCTCGTAGCTCAATTAAAGGGCACGCTCGAGGCACGTGTTGACCATGTGATGGTCACGCTACTTCTTTTGTATCTGCAATATCGGTCGACTCTCTGGATCCCATATTCCTTCTGCCACTGGAATGCTTGATTTTTGGATCGGGTCAATGACAGGCTTATCCGGCAATACATCCCGTGCAATGGAGGCGCTTCTATGGTTTCCAACAATTTTCGCATAGATAAATGTATCAGTGCCTTTCACAGTAATTCTTGCAGATCTGACTGGAAAGATTTAAGCGAGGAACAGGGGGGTATAAGAAAGGTGTGGATTCATTGGCACTAATCCGGGAAAGATGTGGTGGCTGTGGATAACTAGCGGCAGCATCGGGCTCTGGATTGACTCCAGTCTCCTGTCCAATTTAATACTGTGTTGGCTGGCAGTGCGCTGCTCAGCCTTTCCACAGGCCAGGTGACATCCTCCCCAATGTCGACGGAGGCTATTATCAGTGCTCTTCCCACCGTGGTGTGTCCATCAACATTAAATCTCTGCGACTGCCACGGAATTCCCCAAGCGTCGAATTTATTTTCAAGTACATACACCAATCGTGTCAAAATCTTCTATCTCGCCCACCCCCGCACTAAGGCAGCCACCTAACCATTTAAGTCGTCAAGCTAGGACATTCTGAGACAGGATGTCAACGACCAAATGGGCCACTGAGGCGGACTTTGCCGAACATAGGGCAACAATCACGAGCCTTTACCGCCAGAAGCCTCTTGTAGATGTCATGAAACACATGAGACGAGAGCACCAGTTCCAAGCTACGTAAGACAGGTGCTTGCCTCCATCACCATGTCTACTGAGTCATTAAATTCACAGTGCGCGTATGTACAAAGCGCGACTGAAGAGATGGCATGTCACCAAGTACGTCAGATATGGTAAAGACGATGCCCAGCGCCGGACAAGCAAAACACCACATGCACACGTAGACGACACTGCTCGGTCGATAGCCTCCCAGCGACCGGCGTTGCCGACTGTGGCACCAGGTCTTGGAGCACCAGGTCATCAGCAGAAAGTACTGGACTGTCTTAAGATTCTGAACAAGTACGTCAATGTAAACTCAACGCGCGGGTGGTGGCAGACATCGCCTGCATTCATGGCATCGCTCCAGGACAGCGACTGGCTGGCACAGATGACCACAGTCACTATACTCCTGAAAGGCGGACAGGTACAGGCTGGCTTTCAACTCCTAGGCGGTTGTTTCGATACCTACAAAGCCAACCTAAAGGCAGAAAGCCCCTTACTCACCTCCGAAACCTTTATGGCCGCTTTCCAGCTTATGAGCATCTCGCCTCGCTTGGGATGGTCATTCTTAAAGTATACCTGCCAGATGAGTGGTATCGTTCTAGAAATGTCGCATCCATTGACTCAACTACTATCCAAGTACTTAACATTCGATAACGAAGCATTCGCCAACTGTAGCGACCTATTCCTGGGTTGCTTCCTCAACCTGATGAAGCAACATGTCTCCGGCTGGGACGACTCCCACCGCGACGCACTGCTATTGACAACTGGTCGCATGTTCTTACTCAGTCTTACCACATTCTCGCAATACCGAGAATTGACACTGATGTCCAAAAATGGCGAGACATTGCCATTGTTAGGTCATCAGCACGTCCTGGAATGTGACAGCGGTGAGTTGCCACCCGCAGCTACGCGACCAGAGACACTTTCGCTCTATCCCGTTCATCCCGCACGAATCAAGGTAATGAAGCAGGAGCCAGGAGAAGTCGATTACCTGTCTTTCGAGATGTTTTGATATCTGTATTATGAGAAAGAACTAGAAAGCGGATCCCCTAGCTCGATGCATGCATGGGCTCTTGGGCACAGGGACATCCTCTGATACGCAAATTGAATGGGACTCGGAGGCCAGAGGTAGTACTAATATTGGGGGTTGTGACTATCAAAGTCAGCTTCATCCGCACTGTCAACGGACCTATTGTTCCAAAATCATTAGCAGTACCCCTTCGCCCATCCCAATATCGGGTGGCGCTATAGGTTAAATTACGGGGTGGGACTGTGGGTGAGGGTCAAGGATATAAACATATGATCAAGTGATGGACAGTCTCGCACACTCCTTGCAAATGAACTTTGGCATTTTGACTGCGGTTTCCCCACACAATCCTCTTCGAGACGTCTGCATTATAGAGGCCTATTGGCGCAGGCCACCTTACGGGGCTTGGTGTCATCACTTTTGCCTTTATACTGGGAAAAAGAATTCAACTTTTTGCATCTATTCGAGATCCACCATTTCTTCCACACGAGGAATCCCGCACCGGGAAATTAAATCTCGGATCTACTCCCGACGTGAACTCGTCCTGTGCGAGGCTTGAGCATAAAGGCTCTCTGGAATGAACCAATCCTGGTGGCGGGGAAGCCCTCTTAAAACATTCTGCTAAGGAGGAACACCATCTTAGGGCAAAGATCATCATGGGCGTTAATTTAATGCCGTGAGCTTAATTGGTCACGGGGACAGCCGTGTGGGAACCAAATGTTGCACTACAGGGATTTCACCATTGCGATTAAAATCGCATCATCTATTGGATGTAACCAAATGTTGACAGGACCTCTTATCATTCAACTTAGGAATCGCACCATTGGACTAAGTAGCAGCAAGATGAACGGTGCGAAAAGACCGGAAGGCCGTTGGACGCCGGTTATAAAATGTGGCATGTCTCAGTATACTCTGTTCAATTCCCCCTGGGTGATAGATCAAAATGGGAGTCCAGCCGGTTGTCCATCGTCTCTTTATTTCCGGAGCTATCTAAAACAATCTCTTATCTTTGATCCCCTCCTGGCCCACCTTCTCGCTTTGGCAGCGCCAAAATGCCTAGCTATGTGGAAGCTCCTGTCGATGGGAGCGAAGTCTTGAGTGGCTCTCAGGTGACAAAACGTGTCAATAAATCCGACGAGACATATGCGACGGTCAGTGAACAGAAGACGACGGGCAACCCACGCGAAACGGATGGCGAAGAGTCTTTAGGGTCTCGGGGTGACGACGATGGTGCTGTATATGTGAAGGGACATCCCGTCATCCAGAACGGTAACCAATTTTGTAACCCGGGTTCCTGGTACTTACAGCTAATGCTTTACATCAGGCGCCGATGTATCCAAATTCATTGTATCCGTCCGAGATGACGGGGACCCTTCTTTCACATTTCGTTCTATCGTCCTAGGCTCAGTGTTCACTGCACTTTCGAGTGTGATCACCATGCTTTATGTCTTCAAGCCATATCAAGCTCAAGTGTCTGCGGTCTTTCTGCAGCGTAGGCCTGTCCCCTTTCGGTGTATATCCGTCCTGTCTACTTACACCCTTGCCTACAGTGCTCGTCTATGTCTTTGGTGAAGCATGGGCCCGTCTTACTCCCCGGCCTGATAGGTTCAAATGGAAATGGCTACAGAATGTACTCAGCTTTCTTAATTTTGGGCAGCGCTTTGCCATCAAAGAGCATGTGGTAGCCGCTCTAATCGCGTCGTCTGGAAACAACGGCCTCAATGGTGTAGAGATATATGCCGTGGAACGACTTTTCTACGATAGAAGTGTGTCCGCAACCACCGCGGTCCTGGGAACCTTCTCGATGGCGCTTTGTGGATTTGTCCTCGCAGGTGTGATGCGGCCGCTGATTGTTTACCCTGCGGAAATGGTGTACTGGTCCACTTTACCTCAGGTGGTGCTCTACCAGAATCTCCATTTTGACCGGCGCGCCAACAAAAAGCGTCTGACCAAGTTTGGCTGGGCTCTGTTACTTACCGCCGCGTGGGAATTATTTCCCACGTACATCATGACTTGGCTTTCGGGTTTCTCTATCTTCTGTCTCGCCTCCATGAACGCGCCAAAGCACACACGCACCGTTTTCTCTACGATCTTTGGGGGCGCGTCGTCCAACGAAGGTATGGGCCTCTTCAATTTTTCGCTGGACTGGCAATATATCCAGAGCACCTACCTTTCCTTGCCATTTAAGCAACAGCTGAACAGTTGGATTGGTTACATCATTCTGTACGCTGCTATACTCGGCCTATACTACAGCAATGCCTGGGATGCCAAAACCTTCCCGTTCATGTCCACTTCTCTTTTCCAGAGCAATGGCACACAGTTCTCAACGTCAGCCGTCATAAACAGCCATGGAACCATTGATTTTACCAAGCTCGAGGAAATAGGCCTACCCTCATTGACTTCAAGCACTGTCTGGGGGTACCTCACCCAGAACCTGGCCATCGGTGCATTGATTACCCACGTTCTCATTTTCTATGGCAAAGACATGGTGCTCGCATGGAAGCAGGCACGTAGCAGGTCTCAACCGGATCCACACTATCAGGCGATGCTGAGGTATAAGGAAGTCCCCATGTGGTGGTACCTGGTTCTTTTCGTCCTGGCCTTTGTCGCCGGACTGATTGTCAACATCAAAGGCGAAACCACTCTCCCAGTCTGGGGCTACATCGTTTCGCTTCTTCTCGGTGCTTTCATTGCCCCTTTCTCCTGCATCCTCTATGGTCTCTACGGAACCGGAGTTTCCACCAACCAGCTGTCCAAGATGGTGGCAGGTGCCCTTCATCCGGGCCGCCCGCTGGCCAATCTCTATTTCGCCAGCTGGTCCCACCAGTGCATCCTTCTCTCTGTCAACTTAGCTAACTGGCTCAAAATCGGGCAATACACCAAAGTCCCTCACCGAATCATGTTCGCCACTCAAATATACGGTACTCTCCTCGGCGCAGGGTTAAACTACGTCGTCATGACCACGATTGTGAGCTCCCAACGTGAGATCCTCCTCGACCCACAGGGAAACAGCGTCTGGAGTGGTTCAACCATACAAGGCCTTAATACCCAGGCAATCACATGGGCACTCGCAAAGGAGATGTACGGCGTCAACAGTCGATATCTCATCGTGCCCCTCTGTCTAGTTATCGGCCTTGCCTTGCCAATCCTGCACTGGGGTTTACAGAAAGTGATCCCTCGTCTACGAAAGCTGCCGCTTAACACAGCGATCATTGTTTCATACGCCGGCAATCCATATTATGGAAACACATCATGGATTTGGTCATCCATTGTTGTCGGTCTTTTCTCGCAGTTCTGGCTCAGACGCCGCCTACCGGAGATATACAACAAGTACAATTACCTCATTGGTGCTGCGATGGACGGAGGGTCTCAGATTATCATCTTCATTCTCTCGTTTGCGGTTTTTGGGGCTGCTGGTAAGGAACGTCCGTTTCCTACGTGGTGGGGAAATCCAAAGGGTAATCCGGATCATTGCTTGTAAATGAAGCAGTCATCTTATATACATGCACGGAGACAAGATACCTCTTATGCAAAATTTGAAGTACAGCACCTATAGTAAAACCAACACCGTTAAAATCTAGATCCCTCTCATTCTAACCCCCATTAATCCACCCGAGAAACTAAAATCTACTATAAGAATATACAATCCCACATTAACCACCTTCCCAATACGTCTACGACAGACATTATGCCCCCAAACCACGCTAAAACAATAGCCTTACGAATCCACCTCCACCTTTCAGACTAAATCTCCACGCGCAGGAGGCCCAACCGTCGGCTAATTGCTTAACCTGGGGGCCAAATGCACATCTACCAATCGATGCCACTTTGCCACGCATGTCTAATTACGATCTTCAATGCAGGCTGGCGAACAGCCATTGGGTACCATGGTTAAGCAGTTGACTAGACCCGAATCCTGAATCCATGGTACCGTAGTAGTAGACTCAAAGACCAGGGACTATGTTTGGTAATTGGGAGTTTCTTTCTATGTTGAAGGGTTACATCGATTGTGTGTACAGGTGGATCATTGACAATTCCTAAAATAAGGTACTATGGTGAAATGGGTCTCGAGAAAAGAATAGTATTGAATGCGCAGCATTCTGGAAGATAGTTCTGTAAGGAAGGGAATTGAGTTCTGTCTTGAGCAGTCGATGATGGAGAGCTACGCTGGGCTCAGATTGCAAAGGGGGCTGCTAGCAGGAGCAGAACGGTGAGGTATTTGTTCAGTGAGCTCTTGCTTGCTGCGCCAGTGGCTAGTGGTGGTTGGTTCGAGGATGGTGAGGATGATGACACGGCATTGGATGTAGGGTTCGAGGTGGTGCTATTGTTGTGGCTCGAGGTGGTCGTAGGTGAGGTGCCCAGGACTGAGGAAGTGAGCGAGGCCGTGGCAGGGACCTTGGAAATGACCGAAAGAGTTGTTGCAGAAAGGACTTGGGAGAATTAGACGTCAGTTTGAGGTAGAGTCACTCCGGGTAGAAGGTTATGTTAAGATAGCATGGTGAATCGTAAGGTGATGGATGGCAGACTAACCTGTAGAAGAGGCCCGGGATGTTGTCGCAGCCCCCGAGCTGTCGCCCTTGACACTTCCATCAATCGCTTTGATGGATTTCCATGAGCCAGATTTATCCGTATACTCGTAGGCAGAGCCAGTTGAGTAGTCTGTGACCTTGATCGATTTCACGTGCATGGTGAAAGGTCCTTTAGAATAGTCGACTTGGCCACCAGCCCATTCTAGGGTTTAAGGTTAGTTAGTCGCTCATAAACTAGGGCTCAGAAGGCATATATCGTACCAATTGTTCCCTGGGCATTGGACGGATCTCCCGCAGCCCAAGGGCCAACCTTGATGAAACAGGGTGTCTGCGGATACTGTCCGTGGGCGTTCTTTTCCTCCAATGTACGAACGGTATTGCCATCGATCTGCCAGAGAGTCCGATTGCTATCCCAATCGATCGTGTACGTCTTGAAGGCATCATGGTTCCCGGGATCTGGGTGGAAGGCACCACGGTCATAGGTGGTGGTATCGCCTTTTCCAAAATAGTTCGTCTGAACTTGAGCGTTGTCCCCACCAAGCCACTCCCAGTCAATCTCATCCAGAGAGTCTGACTGAAGGACTGCACTGCTGACTATCCCAGTCCCCGGTGCAGCTTTGATGGTGAATTCCACTCGGCCGAACATGATGTAGAAGTCGGACTGGATGACAGGGCCGTCGAGCTTCTTGGCAACGGTCAACGCCACGCCGTCTTGGTCTTGGGTCACCGTTCCAATAGACTTCCATCTGCTAGGGAGCGACTTGGTGAGATCAAATGTAGCTGAGGTGCCAAAGGCAGGATCCTTGGGGCAGGCTGTCGAAGTTAGCTCGTCGACCTGGGATTGTCATAGTAAAGGTATCACTCACTAGCCTTTGTGGGGTTGCACGAGGTGAAGGTTTGAGCATCTGCCAGATAAGGCAGCAACAGGATGGTCATGGCCATGGCCATGATGTAGCATGAGAAGCTCATACTCTGTGCGAACATGGTTTCGCGCATCTATGTGGTCGAAACGAGAGTGATGCCAGGGACTAGCTCCAAGGCGATAAGGTTGCTTTAATACGACAACAAATGAAAGAGGGTAAGGCAACAGATAAAAGAGTGCAAGGAAGTCGTAGAACAGAGAGATCCATTGCTTCTATGTCTTATTATAGACTATGGCTCAGAGAGTGAATTTACCGTGCCCGGCTATTTTTAGTCGGGTCATCTGAAGCCAAGTTGAACTTCACTGTACACTTTGTAAATTCACTGGATGACAAACAGTCAGCAAAATGCCTCAGAATAACTCAAATAGGACTGTGTTCAGGTGAGTACCAGAGCATGCTGAGAAATAAAAAGCACAACGTTGCCGCTGCTAAGACTTCTCTACGACCTCAACATGTCGTATATGCTACTCGGGTATTCTTGTGACACTGTGACGGGTTCAGAGAGTTTCTATCTGCTCTACTATCATCACCTACGTGCGTATAAAACTCTGGCTGCAATGTCCAGGAATTGGTAATAGACAGTCCCACTTTCCTTTCCTCCTTAATCGTATATACTACTTGTTCGTTTCATCTGCTGGTTTCGGTGGAACAAGCTCGCGTGAGCAGATAGGAAACTCTATCGTTCTGTCTCGCCCTAAGCTCTGAAGTAGGTATGATCAAGCGACTTCGCATACATTGACCTCATCTGACAGAGCTGAATGGCTAGTGCATTTTTCACATACTGCCGGACGTTACGAGTCTGAGTTACGGCAGCCCACGTGTGGTCTTCCGTAGCAAGGTTCTGTGAGGAATGTAGGCGCTCGCTTCCCTTCCAAATGCTGTGAGGATCAGAGCCTCGCCTGGACTGTGTTTAAGCAAGGGATTTCTAACATATCCGCATAAAGAATGAGGTAGGTTCGACACTTGGTCCTGAGATCAGTGTACAAGATTAGTTGCGTCTCGGAGAGTTTTCGACAGGGGTTTCTGAGTTTAAGTTATATAGTATGGTACGATACTGCTGTAGTATAGTGCTGTGCAAGAGCGTAAGACAATTCTGAAACATTGACTCTTTCATGCATTGTATGCTTTTTGAAACAATCTAAAGGATGGGATTGTAAATTCCAAATCTCTTTTGTAGGGTTTCACCAAGTCATTTGTTGTGTTGGGCACTCATGTGACCCTGGACAAAATGTCACGTTTCAAAGAAACAAACAACAAAGCCTCCCGCATTGTTGGAGGTTGAATTGTGACAAGTCATTCTGGACGCATACCCAAGACCCGACACAAAGCCGGAGAGAGAAAACGGCCCTGCAAAGATTATCCGCCCACACAACAAGATTTCCGGCGGCCGATCAATGTGCGAAGGTCCTTGCAGGACGATTTAATGCAGTGTGATTGGACAATTCAACCGGGCTGGGGAGGGGGAAAGATGACAGGGACAACGTTTGTCCATGTAAGACGAGACACGCAGCCTCGCGTCAGCTGAGATAGCCTTGCAGCACCTTTTCTCCCCTTTCATCCAGATTCCATCATGCTTTCGGACTTGTCATCCGTCGCGGACAATGCCATCTTTTCACCCCCTATCTCACCACGCGGTCGCAGCTTTCCGTCGCAATCTGACCTTCCGCTCCGAATTCAACCATCAACAGCGTCGCGATAATTAATATCCTATTTGAATCGCTCGTATGCTGGTGGCCGCTCTGCCCCCGGTTGCCCCATGTCACATCCACTCGTGGCAGCAGTGTGGGAACAGCTACGGCGTCGTGACATAACCAATATCGTCAGGGAAATCATCGGCGAACATGCCACGGATGTCGCGATTTTCCAGGCGGAAGATGCTTCCGATGTCGCGAAAGTCGAGCAGCTCATGCATGCCGTGTTCTGGATCAAAGCCATTTTTGACCTGCAGAGAACCTACCTGCAGGGGCTAACGAATTTTGACGATGGCCACCCCTCCTCCACTTCATATCTACTCCCTTCCGAAGTCATCTTCTCGACCCTCATGTACCTAGTGCAGGTGAAGCCGAAGTTGTTCCCGTGCACCAAACCAACCGCCCCGGAGCTGGTCAAATATAGACACTTTCTCGCCCTCACGTTACTCGCCGGGGCGCGACTGCTGCTGTTGCGAGGTCAAAGCATTCGCCATGAGATGAAATTCAATCTTGAACGTGCGATCAGGAAAGCATGGCAAGACTCGGAGCTGCCCGGTGCAGACAGGTTTATGGTCAGCGATTTACTACCGAAAGTCATCGATAGTATAGAATCCTCCGATTCGTCATCTAAAGGTCATCTGTTTTTCTCTGCATCGCAGGGAAGTAATTCTAAATTCACGGCCATGGAACCTGTAAGTGCTAACTTGTATCTCTGTAACCCTTCCCGGGAGCAGGTTCGGCTTACGCATGATAGAACTCCTTACTGGGAAATACGGAGACTCTAACCGACCTCTTGTCGGGTCTCCTGAAGAAAAATACCGATCAGACGACTCCCTTCTTATCTTTGTTTGACATGCTCTGGGCAGCCGAGGCGACAATGGTACAGTCCCATATAGATCGCCGCCGTATATCCCAAGAGCAAGGGGATAGCCTCGCTGCAGCACTGGACGTGGATGAGATCTTTGAGCGCACGCGAGAGAACAAAATGAAGCTGGCGAAGACGGTCTTGGCGGCTTTCAACGATGAATTCACGGCACCTCCGCTTCAGATTCTTGCGACGGTTGTGCTAAGCCAAAATGCCGAAGCTCAAGCACCCCTCCAAACTCGAAGAATCCGGGATACTTGGAGTCAGCTATCTCGTATCAGGGAAGTCTGCGAAGCATCCCTGAGTCATCTGGTGAGATGGCTTATTAACCGTAGAGTCCAACTGTGGGGTTGCAACGGAGAGCTGGAGGCTACCTCGCACGACTATCAGCAGAATCTCACCGAGTGGTTGCAGCTTTCACCCCTCCAAGAAGCGAATCAATCAAACCGTCAAGATGAAGTATTTTACGTGGTGGATTGCCCTGCTGTCCATTCAGTCCCCCGATCATTATTGGAAGAGCGAATGGACAAAAATGCCTGCGAGGTATGCAACTCCCCTTTTGAGGCGATCGCCGGATCACATTTATTACGATAAAAGCGGAGGCTTAACATCTGGATAGCAATTGCGAGCGAACTCCCAGGTCCTGACACTAAATATTTACTGCCCTCTGTGTCCAACAAACACGAAAATACAACATGCTCGCATGGTGGAATCCGCCAGGCTTTCTCACCCACGCATCGGCTTTGAATCGGGCAGTACCAGAAGCTACTCCTTTCCCGATTCCATGTCTCGAGACACGACCTCCTCGAGCTCCCTTAGTCATTCTACCAGCCATTCATCCGTCCGTATAGATTCAGGCGACGGGGCATGGAGTCCGATCTCGCCTGCGACTTTCAAGCCCGTATTCAATGCGATGAATAACAAACATTCTCCTACGACACCCTCCGACCCACATGCCTCATTTTTGGCACGTAGCAAAACCGATTATTTATATGAAAAGTCCGCTACAAAGTCATTCCCCCGAGAACTGAAAAATGTCTCTCTACCCTTCTCCACCGGTTCTTCCCTGTTTCGACGGGTGTCAGTGAAGAAGAATCATTTACCTCGTGAGCCCAGATTCTGCTTCTCTGCGTCAGGCCGGAGCCTTCTTCTTTGGGGCGTCGGAAGTAATTGGGTGGCCAGATTTGAAACGCCCAGTGCAGGAGCACAGAAGCCAAGGAGTTACCGATACGATGTTTCCGGTGTGCAGTACGTTGCTGCTGGAGACCAGCGCTGCGCGGTGATAGCCGCTGTTGGAGAGGTAATACGGCCTTCACTCATCTACCATGCAATTTGATCCGAACTGACATCTCATACAGCATTACGAGCTTCTGGTATTCAAGGGGTTTGGCCTCAGTGCCGAAGCTCATTTGCCGATCGAGATTCACGACCCATCCCTACCTCCTATCCATATGGTTATGTCTCGCGATGATCGATACATTGCGTTTACCCTTAAAAGCGAAGTTCGCGTTTACGAAATTATTGCGGGTGGTATTGTACGAGTCTCATTCGGTGATACGGGAGACCCCAGCGCATCTCTATATGATATGACTGCGGCCCCAATGCACATTGCCTCGCCCCTAGGAAATGACGGTACTCCAGGGGGGCAAGAAACGATCATTGAAAGAAAGCTTCAATTCTCGGTCGACGGGAAATATTTTGTCATTGCGACACACCTTACCGACTCCAATGCCTATGTTGACGTGTGGGACCTGTCCCTGAAGCGGTGGGATACTGTGCCTGGGAAATCACAGTCGTTTAGGCTTTCTCACGTATGTCCTTCGAAATCCTAGCCTTGGTTTTGCATGAGTAACTAACAATACAAGCGAACGACTAACAACAAAGACCTCACCTGCGTGTTCTACGATAACGTCCACCATGCAGTTCTCCTACCTGCCTATTTCGAGAAGGAATTTCCCAAATCATCCTCAGTTGCCGACAAAGACATGCTTAAAGACCCAAATAGCACCCGCATAACGCACGCAGCCCAGTCCGGCTCTGGATCGCGGTTTGCCATTGCGAACGGCATGAACCAGATTTACTTGTTCGACTCCAATGCTAGTGGGTCTACGCGTGTGGCTCGGATAAAGAAAGCCTCGCATAAGATCAGTTCGTCGGTTTTCCGACCCGGTTACTTGAGCCTGGCCTTCCCACAGGATGATGAAATTCTTCTTTTCTGGATGGATAATGGCAAATTGATGCTCCGGGCGGTGCGATTGCACGAAGGGACTCAGACATCGAAAGATTATGATTTGCGCTCTGATTTTGACCGGCTGATTCTTGAACGGCCCACGGCTGATGTGCAACTCCGGCGAGCTTCACTGCTCTCCAAACAACAGAGCCCTGAGCTGGATGGGTACATATCCATCACCAGCAAGTTGGCTGAATTACCATCAACATGATGTTGATGAAGATACCAAGACTGCTTCCACATTATTTCTTGGGCATGAGATTGTGGAGGATCACATATATAAATCAATAATAAGTAGTTTACTTCTGTCTCCATCACGTATGCCTCTAAAGTGATCTCATATATGGACTCCACGGACTAATCAGTAGTTAATTCCAGAACCGTACAATGAATGCCTGAGGCAGGGGCTCTGGATCATGCACGTCATTACCCAGACCGGACTAGTGCGGGGGGAAGCTCCCCCGGAATAATTGAGGCCCCGAGTCCCGAGGGGGTTCCATGATCATCGACCGTCGCTTGAGAACAACATAGTCGAGAAGAGGACGTCAGTCAGTCACAAGAGCGTACTAGAGGTATGTTCTTCGCTATTGGGGGCCGATAGTGACTCTGTCGTGCCCCAAGTTACCCCCGTCCAGTTCCCTTCTGCCTCTGGTGGATCGTGCGGGTGATCGCCCGTCGGAGCTTCTGCAGCTGTCAAGTCCAGTACCTGAGGATGGCGTGCAGCTGGAATGAGCTAATATTCGCATTGACTTGTAGACACTTCGGTGCAGATTACATTTCGTCCAAAGCAACGCCTCCAGCAAGGGGTGACAGGCCTTTGCCGTGTGGACGCAAGTCAAACTGGCTTCGATATATATGCCTTAAAGACGACGTCATCAATCCGTTCACTCTGACGCGGACCGTCTCGGGAACTCCGAAATCATTAAAGTCTGAACAACAACATCATTCTTCCCTTTTCATTTGATTGCCCCCGCACTACGTTTATCGTCATGTCTCAGTCGGAGATTCGCGATGCCCGTCGGCCCTCCCAGGCCGAGAATCAGACCATTCTCAAATCTGAGATCCCGTTGAAAGAGCGCTTCTTCCGTTACTTCCAACATGAGATCACTGGTATGACCTAGTTGATGGACTGTGATCCTATCTGCACAGTCGGAGATCATCTGACACCCATGCTTCCCACAGCATTGCAAGAACAGATGGACCGTCTCGCGGATACCTCTCTTGTGGGAGGAGAGCGGACGGATGCGACCGACCACTGCCTAGCTGGCATTGCCCGGCTGTCCAACGAAGTCAAGGATGCAGCGAGCTATATTCCCACATATGACCAGCGGATATATGCGGAAGTAGGTTGAAGAATATGGCCTTGACGCGTGTCTGTATTGATCCATCGTCTAGGCGATCAAGGCCCTCCAAGACAAGCTGGTAGAAACTCGGGCGACGGTCGAGCCGCGTCCTAAGTTCAGCTTCAAGACCAAGAAGAATGCTTCGGCAATTTCCTTGTCGGATGCGGCCAACATAGTATACCACGGTCGGAGTATGCCCGGATACCTTTCGCCGGGGACATCCTCCGTGGATTCATCTGCCGCGCAGACCCCCAACTATCCCTCCACACCGTTAAATGAGCCGGAGCGCATCCTGCAACCGAGAGCCGAGATTGCGCCGACTTCTTTCCCAGTCATTCCCCCGATCGACGTGGACGAAAGGGAAGAAAAGTCGAAAAACGAGAAGGGCAAGACCTTTGCGGCCACTGCTGTGTCATCTGTGTCCGTGAACAACCATGTTGGGCTCCATATCATGCTTCCATCCTCCGGTTCGACTGCTACGGTGCCGGCCTCTATCACGTCCTTGCGCCATTGCGTTGTGGATATGTCCATCCCAACCGCCAACGGAAAGCCCTACGCCAGTCTGACGATCAAGGGTGTCAAGGAGAGCTTGCTGGTTTGCGGGCAGATCAATGGTCCAGCCCACATCACCGATGTGGAGAACAGTACTATTGTAGTCACTTGCCGCCAATTCCGCATGCACAACTGTGCCAACGTGGATGTCTACCTGAGCGCATCCAGCAATCCGATTATCGAGGATTGCACCAATATTAGGTTCGCCCAGATACCAAGAGTATACGTATGTGACTGGGCAATGCTTCCTTTTCCGGTAACCCCACTAACACATTGCAGGCGCTGGACCACGACCACCCGGACAGTGAGGACCACTGGAGCCAGGTTGAAGATTTCAAATGGATCAAGTCAGAACCCAGTCCTAATTGGAGTTTGATTCCTCGCGAGAGCGCAGTCCCCGAGGAAGTATGGGCTGAAATCGTCCCTGGTGGCCCAGGATGGTCCCTCGACGACATTTTACGCGCAATTAACATTGTCAACTAGTGACGCCTTTCACACATGAAATGGTCATTTGTGGCTGCATATAGGTATACCAATGCAAATGCAAATATTCTGTCATGGGTGATGAAACGTTGGACGCAGATAACACCCTTGACTAGGGATCTCTCCACTACTAATTTAGTTGATCCATCTGGTTGGCATTATGTTCTCGTTCAGTCTGGGGGCCTAGGTCTCCTGTATCACGTCAGTTGCCATTTAATCTACTATGCTATGAAAATCCTGTGAATTGAGGCACGTCAAGATTGCATTTATGGAATGGGGCGTTCTCGGCCAAGTCATCTCTTTCCAGACGCTGATTCTCTCGTTTGTACTTGTATTCGGTGCAGGCATCAATCAGAAGACCGACAACATGCCGGTTATTATATACTGTTAATCCAATGCTTGAATGGACATATTATGAACAACAACAACATCGCTCTCTAATCTATCAACGAATATATTCTAGAATTCCACCCGGAAGACCAGCACCTGGTTATCAATATTGTAACCCGATTCATCGGCGTACTTGTACCGCCCGAAGTTCATGTGCCCTAAGCATCCAGTCAGCCGAAGTCTTCCACACCCACACCAGGAGAAGACTCACCATCCTGCGTCATAAAGTCATTGTCACTGAAGCTGAACAAGAAATACTCATTCTTCGAGCCACGCCTCCGCTGCTCCGGCTCAACCGGAACAAGCGCGAAGCTCTCCCACTTCTCATTCAACAGCAACGCATCCTGCGATCCACCATTATGCAGCCCGAACTTCGCCAGCTCCGACTCCACATTATAATCCAGGAACGAGCAGTACTCGACGGGCGTAAGCCCATCGTTCAACACGCCCTTGGAAGAAGCCACACTCGCCCCAACACCATCATACTTGCCCTTCAGATCCGTGGTCGAATTCGCAATCGATATCACATCTGCATGCCGATACACAGATCTTGTCTCACCCTGGCCATGCCCGAACCCAGAATCCCGCGAGAGGACCAAGAAATCCCCAGTGGGAAGGATGTGGATCTCCGACTGCGACGCGACCACCGACTCATTCTTCGTGTAATCGTCATACTTCGGCAGCAGCACCACATACTCGTGTTGGTACACCGGCTTCCCAGAGGAAATATCATACTCCAACAGCCGCGCCGGCTGCCGGTTCTTCTTCTTCGGGCCGCCCTCCTGGTTCAGCGCAGACTGCATCATAGCGTACAACGTCTTCCCGTCCGCCGATAGCGTCAGCGCCTCCAGACCCTGGTTGTTGTTCCGTCCGGACTGCGGATCCTCCGGGTTCACCTTCAGCTCCGGGGCATACACCGGCGGACTGGCCGCGCTGAAACTCAGCGTCCCGTTCCGACGGGGCAGGATTGCATCCGGCGGCTGCACCGCCAGCTCCATCCGCCCCTCCTTGCTGAACTTGTACACGTACGGCCCGTATTCATCGGACACCCAGAACCCGCCGTCGTTGTCGATCGCCAGGCCCTCCGGATCCATGGAGACGCGCTTCCCGCCGGGCCCTGCGCCGCCGAAGCCATCACCAACGTAGGTGGCTGCCGGCAGGGGCGGGTAGCCGGGGTAGGATGCGGCGCCGGTTACGTCGGCGTCCAGACCGGTGGTGGGGAGGCCGTCGGGGCCGGTGAGGAGGACCGTGTCGAGGTATTTGAGGCGCAGGTTGGGGGGCGAGGCGGTGTGAGCTGAGGCATTGCGCGCCAGGGTAAGCGTGAGGGCGATCTTGTGGATGCGCGGTTGGAAGTTTAGGGTTCCGTTGGTGTTCCTGGCTTGTGTTAGCTGCGATTGTTCTATGTGTACTGGGGTGTGGTTTTGTTTTGGATGTACCAGCCGCGGTCAGGTAGGGCATAGACCGTTCCGGAGTAGCTGTCTCGCCCTGTTCGGCGCCAGGAACCGGGCTCCATGGCTATCGAGCTACCGATCCCGCCGATCGTGTCGCCATACTTGTCTGTTGCGTTGGAGGGGATATACCCGTAGCCTTCCAGGCCGGTGTATGCGTAGGTCGTGCCGCCGCAGGTGGTCTGGTTGACGACGGTGGATCTGGCTGCTGCTGCTGCCGTCCAGGGCAGAGCAGTCAGTAGTGTATGTAGTTTCATTGGAGATATGAGTAGCAGACACAGGACAACTGAATACAAGGACTATTACTATTCTACCCGCAGTCGAGAAAACAGATAAAGACTAAAACGAAGGAAGGTACATGTAGGAATGAAAGACAATCGATCAATAAGTATCCAACGCGTATGACGATAATCCAGAGCGCATGCCTAGTTCGTGAGTTAGTTAGCTTTTGGCGGGACATCTTTGCAGCTGAAAACAGTATCCCGAGATAGGCCAAGATCAACGTGGTGGAAGGTGTTCTTCCTATTCGCTCGGAGCTTGAAATTACCTTCCTTCCTGCCAGGCCAATGATGTTGCGGGGGGGCCTGGCTGGTGTTTTTAGTCTGGAGATTTAGTGTCTTAGGTTGGAGACTATCGCGGTTTGGGGCGATGATATGCATGATTGCTTTGCCGTCGCTCTGTATGGGTGCCTCAGGTGTCGGCGGGGGTTGCCCTATGTTCTTGTGAGGTAAGTACCTTTTTATATGCTATTACTAGAGTATAAGGTGTTCATGGGGAAGAGTGATGAATGTTAAATATATATTCTTACAGACGAGTAATTTTATAAGGTATCATCTTGAGAATCTGGAATACTAGACTTAAGTCAATTCAAGTCCTAATCCAGCTTCTTTATATAATTGCTCGACCATGAAACCAAGACAGACACGACACTGCCCTACCAAAGACGCAATGGACTCTAAAAGCACACGAATCATTCTAGCAATACGACACATAGTACATCTAAAAGCTCGGACATTTATACCCACATCAATCGACCCAACCCAACTCCCTTGTCATGCGCTACAGTAGTATTGCATAACATGCAATCTTTAACCTTAGTACCCCATACCGCCCATGTTGTATGGACTCTCCATACCACCATAGCTGTCTGAGCTCTCCATACCACCATAGGTATCCGAACTTTCCATACCTCCATAGTTATCGGAGCTTCCCATACCACTTGTATCGTAGCTCCCCGTATCAATCACACTCGGTGGGCTTTCCATCCAGCTTCCTTGGTTGTCCATATCTCCACTACCATATGAACTCCCCATATCACCTGAGCTACCGTACGGACTTGAGCTCCCCATCGGACTCTCAGGCTCAGTAAAACTGCCGGAGTTTCCATATGGATTATCATAAGAGCCTCCCACAGGATTAGAGCTAGGGGTAGGGGTAGGGGTAGTCGAGCTAGTTGAGCTAGTCGAACTGCTTGGGTTTCCAAACAGGCTTCCTGAGCTTCTTGAGCTACCTGAGCTACCGTGTGGACTCCCCATAGAGCCTCCCGTGGAACTACCAGAGCCGGTCAGGCTACCTAGTAGGTTTCCAAACAGGCTTCCCATGTTACTCGAGCTTCCCAGCATGTTGCCCATAGTTCGTGAGTTACCCATAGGCTTAGTAGAACCGGTCAGGCTGCCGGAGTTTCCGAATGGGCTTCCCATGTTACTTGAGCCTCCCATTGGGCTTGAGCCACCTGAGTTGCCCGAGATTGATGTGCCACCTGATTGAGGTGTAGATGAGCCGGACTGGCCGGATTGACCAGATTGACCGGATTGACCAGATTGACCAGATTGACCGCCACAGCCAAGATACACAGCTATACCAAGTCAGCATCTCCCTTCGACATCAATCGACTCAGAAATGAAAAAAAAAAAAAAAAAAAAAAAAAAAAAAAAAAAAAAAAAAAAAAAAAGGGATACTCACACTTCGCAAAAAAAGCATAACTCTCCGCGTTACTCAACGCCGTCTGGGTATCAATATTCATAATCTCGTGATACCCATAAACCTCATTGCCCAGCACGCCCTTAGTATGGCCAAGTTCATGCAACGTAGACGTCGCCTGATCCAGGACCGTGCAATCATCCGACGACGCCGGCAGATCAAAATACGCAGGACAGGTATTCACCTGGCCGCGCGTGCCATCCGTACTCGCATACGCGGTCGTGGTAAACCCTCCCGACTGACAGTTGATGTTGCCGGGCTGACAGGAGTAGCTGACGAGGCCGCCGCCGGGCTGCGATGCCTCTTCGGCGATCTTCTCCAGCGCGCTGGCCACCTGGTCGATGGAGCTGGCGTCGGTGGTCTTGAAGAAGGTTTGGAAGAGCGAGGTGCCGTTGTTGGACCGCAGGCTTTTGGCCCCCGCTGCCGCCATCTGGCCGGCGCTTGTCACTGCCGCGGAGACGAGTTGCTGTTGTGAGTCTGTGCAGTCTGTGTATGTTGCGCGGGGCTTGAGGACCCCGGCTGTGGTGGGGGTGGTTAGGTATAGAGGGAGGATGATGCTGAGGACATGCATTTTCGGGGAGTGGACAATGGTAATTTGAGTTGATGTGTGGTATTTAGTGAGATTGCCAGTTGGTGTGTCTACGTGTAGTGTATGGTCTTTTTATATCCTTGAAGAATCTGATGATCTGATGGCCTCTAGTCTGGGTCGATACAAGGGATCCTCTTGAGACGCGCCGTGGTGTTTCATGTTCAGCATTTTACTCAATCACACAAGATTTGTTCCAGAATTTTACTACGGTAGTGATGGTGTCTAGAGTTTATATGTCTATTTTTGGTGGTGGCTGTCTCATCTCTGTCTGGAATTGACTGATGTTGCATTAGGGCTTCTGCCAGGGGTCAGCTGTGGAGGTATTCTAGAACAAGTGTCGAAAGGACTCATGCATCCTGGATTGGACCATAAGTATTGCTTAATTAATTTTATACAAGGGTAATGCAAACTTCAAGCTCCTATTAAAGGCATGTACCTCTGGTTTTGTTGAGAAATCTTCCATGATCGGTTTCATTCTAGTGCCGAGAACTGATGAGTTTCAAAGATGTCCAATATGAAACCAGAATACATTGCCACCTTCGTATTAGGCTTGCCGAGTCAATGGTTCCATACTACATTAATCTACATTGGTGCAATGATATTTGATTGCATTCTCGATCTCGTTGACATTGGGAGTGGCTTGGTTAACTAGCAGATATGCTCATTTTGTATACCAGTGAGAAGCATCATCATCCATATGCTACTAGTATCAAGATAATCAGACAATACCCATCCTTACTCCTAATTTTGGTATTCATGCATACTATACATTGTTCTCTCATTCAGCAAGTTACTCGTCGGAGTGGACTACTAACTATCCCAAGTTGTGGACACCTTAGGATACTTACTCGCATCCAGTCCCAGATCCTTGTACACAGCATCATCCCCTAGTCGAACCTTAGTACATATTTCACCATGGGACCCAAGAAACTCTTACCTTTCAATGACTCAATCCTCTCCTCGTTCTCGCCCTCCAACTTCTCCAACTCCTCCCAGGGCTGCGCCTCTTCAGACCGCTTTCCGTCAGGCTCAGCAGTAGCAGCCTTTCCAAGGTCATCTGTAGCTTCACCGATCATCAGGAACTGGGCGTTGGGATAGTCAATGAACTCAGGTGTCAATGGTGCCCAGCGATAATCCTGGAACTTTTCGCGGACACTATCCAGCAAATCAGTCGTGTTTCGAGGACAATAGATGGAATTGGGAAGGGCAGTCGCAAACCTTTCAGGGTACTCAGGGTCCTTTGGAAGTTGCGCGGAGGAAGGCCCCGGATACTTCGGGTTCTTCGACTGTACAATCCAGCTGCCACGCGCGTGAAGACCAAAGTCTTCCTGAAGAGGGCCGACCTCCCCAGGGATGGTCAAAATGTACGCCAAGTGCGAAGCTCGCTTGGTGGACGTAATCGCATAGACGCCTTCGGCATACAGCTTGGCTTCTGGCACAGTGCGTTCGCCACGAGTCGAGGTTTCATATTTCTCACCAGAGAGATAGTTCTCCTGGAGCTCCTTCATCGTCTGTCCAGTCTTCTCAACGAAACCCATATCTCTCTCCCTCCCGCTGGCAGGAAATTTCTTTTTAGGCAATAGCATCAGCCGACACTTCGCGCCAGGTTCCAAAGACCCCTGCGTTTGATCCAGGGAGGCCCCTAAAGGAGTTGGGCGTAGTACAATGAAGCTTCGGGCAACATCGTCCACACTATTTGGTTCGGACACGTTAACTCGGGATCGATAGAAGAAATAGATCACGCCTTTCTCGAGTATATTCGAAGGAACGGCATCCTCTCTTTCCTGTGTTTTTTGAACCCCAGACTCGACCCTATCAGCAGCGGGCTTCTCTCGCTCTACGCATCGTTAGTATCATGCCACTCGAAGAGTGTACAGGAGTTGATACCGTCAGCTGGTTTGCCCTCTTCAGTATTTGACTTCAGTGATTCTTCGTTGTCATTCCCTTGTTCTTCCTTACTTTTTTCTAGCTGTTCCTCTTTCTGTTCTTCTTTCGCCCCCACTGCTTGCTCTTCTTCAGGCTCTTCCTTCTTGGTCTCTGAGCGTTCCTCATTCTGTTGCTGCTTCTCTCCCTCTGCTTGCTCCTCATTCTGCTGACTCTTTGCTCCCTCTGCCTGCTCTTCAACCGGATGAACCTTCTCTCCCTCTGCTTCTTGTTGAACAGGTTCCTCCTTCTTTTCCTTTACTTGCTCTTCTACACCCCCCTTTTGCTCTTCCACCTTCTGGTCTTCATCCCGCGCAGGCTTCTGATCATCCTTTTTGCTCCTTTTTGGCTCTGGGCCTTTATGCGCAGCTTCCTTGCGCTTTGCGCCCGCCCCACTCTTGCTCTTAGTGTCTGGACCGGCTGCTATGGCTTCCTTCGCCTTCTGAGCAGCTTGGCGGGTCGAAGTCCTAGTCGCGGCCATTGTGAGGGAAGTAACGATTAAATGAAAGGATAGAGGGTCCAATTGAATGATAGAAAGTCAGGAATAAGAGAGAATTGAAAGATGACAAGCTACGAGGCGGGTCTCGACCCGAGAGAAGTGAATGGTGGTGCTCCCTCAGTGGGCAGCTGGTGATGAGGACCGTCTGACGTCATCTATGTCAACGGCCTTTTCCGGACTAGTGCGACTCAAACTAGCCCATTGGCACGTGACATCAGGGATCCAGATCAAGCAAGTACTAGTAGTGATGTCAACGATTCATGGTCTTTTTCTCAATCTAGATCCATATGTTCCGCTGCAGTGGCCTCTTGGTTGGAATCGGTGCCAGTCTCCCCAAGCGACGGAGATCTCGAACAGAAACTCTCTGAGGACTCTAACTCGCTAAGTCCGACATCCGAAAGACTGCTTGCTGGAGTCCCTAAAGCCTCGTTTGATTGCTTGGTTTTTCTGCGTAGCTTTCTCAATTTAAGATCGGGTCCCTCTTCGTATCGTCGATCTAGTGACATGCCAGGACCTTGTTTCTGGGATACGTGAAACCCTCCAGTAGCATTGCTAGGCGACTTCCTTTTCCTGCCTCGGTTATATCTTGATGTCGGCCTGGTGATATTATTGTCAGATTCACAGTGTAAGTCTTCCATTGAGTCCACCAGGTCAGTTTGCCAGTGCTCAGAACTGGGTCCCAGAAGAAAAGTAATAGCAGGCTTGGAAGATACAGGGGGAGGGTCCTCCTCCGGCTCCTCAATAGCATATGGTTGTATCACAACAGGAGCATTATGGTCGGGGTCCTGGCTTAAAGGATCCTCTGCGGCTGCATTGCATGTATTCTGACTTTGTTGGGATGGTGTAAATTCATTTTTATTATCTGACATTGTGGAGGCTTGGGATGGACCAGAAGCCGTGGCATAGATTCCAGGAATCTCTTCCATATCACGCTAGCCCAAGTCCACGATAAGAACGTGTTGGACGGGATATATTGCAGTCATGCCAAAGAAAGAAAGGAAAAGTACAGTACATGGGTCGCCTTCACAGCGTTGAGCTGACGTATGTGTTTTATTCGAGAATATTCTGCAGAGTGACTAATTGGAACTGAGGACGTAACTGCCCTGAGTCGTACTTATGATGTGTGTTAGTGGAGGTGCCCACGGTTGTTCTTCGGCGGGGAGCATCCGGGGTAACAGCGAGGGATTAGGGACCACATCCTGGAAGAGGCAATGGGTAAGATGGGACCCTAGAAAAGTCAGTCTCAATATCTAGCCCATTTTCATAAAGTTCCCGTGTGGAAATCAAGAGTTCTCATCGAATTGTCTCTCGTATGAAACGGAGTAAGTTGGAGTTCCTTACGGGAAGGCAATTGATGTTCCCCTGGCAGCTTCTCACCGCCGGGGCCCATCATTGGCCCAACGGGATTCGCTTATTGGCTCTCCCGGCGGGCGACACAATAAGTCCACGTTTACCGCCTCATCGCTCTTAGTTTAGTTGTCCAGACTGTCCCCGAGTCCAGACGCTCCCCGACCATACCTGCGTGATCCTCTGCCATTCTGCCCGTTGCAGCAGTGGATGAGGTGGTCGCTTTTGTGATCTCTTTATATCTAGCGTGCGGAGCTTGCTTCTCTATGGTGCGGCTCCGGCCAACTCTCTTTCAAGATGCAGTCCTCCCCAAACATGCTCACTAAGGTATGTCCTCCCCTCTAATGCTCCCCCCCGGACAAATCTGGCTCTGGAGTTTCAAGGGCAACTATTAAATATCATACGCTGCACAGTTTGAGTCGAAGTCATCCAGAGCGAAGGGAATCGCTTTCCATCCCAAGCGGTTAGTCCACGACTGAGCGTCCCACGCGTCGCAATCAAGCACCGCTGACCCTGACGGAACCAGGCCATGGATCTTAGTATCGCTTCATTCGTCGACGATCCAACTATGGGATTATCGCATGGGAACCCTCATTGACCGTTTCGAAGAACACGATGGCCCCGTCCGAGGCATTGACTTTCATCCTACACAACCCCTCTTCGTGTCCGGAGGCGATGACTACAAGATCAAAGTGTGGAATTACCAAACGCGGAGATGTCTGTTTACCCTCAATGGCCATCTCGATTATGTGCGCACAGTGTTCTTCCATCCCGAGCTCCCTTGGATTCTTTCCGCGTCGGACGACCAGACAATCCGCATATGGAACTGGCAGAACAGGTCACTGAGTAAGTTGGGACCTGGCCACCTATCCCGAACAAAACTGACTTGGAGTCCTCAGTCTGTACGATGACGGGCCATAATCATTATGTGATGTGCGCGCAATTTCACCCAACCGAGGACCTGATTGCCTCCGCCTCCCTAGACCAGTCTGTCCGTATCTGGGACATCTCGGGCTTGCGGAAGAAGCATTCCGCGCCGACAACCATGTCGTTCGAAGACCAGATGGCTCGGGCCAACCCCAGCCAGGCGGATATGTTTGGAAACACCGATGCAGTTGTCAAGTTTGTCTTGGAGGGCCACGATCGAGGTGTCAACTGGGTGTCCTTCCACCCCACTCTGCCCCTGATTGTCTCTGCGGGTGACGACCGCCTGATCAAGTTATGGAGGATGAGCGGTACGTTGCAACCCAGCGCTTTCCACCCGTGGTTTAAAGTCGCTAACATTTTACGGTAGACACCAAAGCCTGGGAAGTTGATACATGTCGCGGTCATTTCCAGAATGCCTCGGCCTGTCTGTTCCATCCTCACCAAGATTTGATCCTCTCCGTCGGCGAAGATAAAACAATCAGAGCATGGGACTTGAATAAGAGAACCTCGGTGCAATCATTCAAGCGTGATCTGGATCGCTTCTGGGTTATTGCCGCTCACCCCGAAATCAATCTCTTTGCGGCAGGTCACGACACTGGTGTCATGGTTTTCAAGTTGGAGCGCGAGAGGCCAGCTTCTGCGGTTTACCAGAACCAGCTGTTCTACATTACCAAGGAGAAGCATGTCAAGTCGTATGACTTCGCCAAGAATGTCGAATCTCCCCCGATGCTCTCGTTGCGCAAGCTGGGTTCCCCTTGGGTGCCTCCACGAACTGTCTCGTACAATCCCGCTGAGCGTGCCATCCTGGTTACTTCGCCAACCGATGGCGGCGTGTACGAGCTTATTCACCTCCCACGGGATGCTACTGGTGCCGTGGAGCCGACCGACGTAAAACGTGGCCAGGCTTCTTCTGCTGTCTTTGTCGCTCGCAATCGCTTCGCTGTTTTCAACCAAGCGAACCAGCAAGTAGACATCAAGGACTTGAGCAACTCCACCACGAAGACGATCAAACCTCCTCCAGGTACAACCGATATCTACTTTGGCGGTACCGGCTGCCTACTCTTTGTCACACCCACCAACGTCGCTCTTTTCGATATCCAGCAGAAGAAGCAGTTGGCTGAGTTGGCTGTCAGCGGCGTCAAATACGTTGTCTGGTCCAACGATGGCCTGTATGCAGCTTTGCTCAGCAAGCATAATGTGACGATTGTCACCAAATCCCTGGAGCAAGTGAGCAGCTTGCATGAGACCATTCGTATCAAGAGCGCCGCCTGGGATGACGCTGGCGTCCTTCTCTACTCCACCTTGAACCACGTCAAGTACTCTCTCCTTAACGGGTAAGTTTGTTCCTCTTTTCTGATGAAGCACGCATGCTGATTGTGTCAAAGTGACAATGGCATCATTCGCACCCTCGACCAGACAGTTTATCTCGTCAAGGTTAAGGGCCGCAACGTCTACTGCTTGGACCGCAGTGCCAAGCCGAGAATCCTGGAAATTGATCCTACTGAGTACCGGTTCAAGCTGGCGCTGGTCAAGAGAAACTATGATGAGATGCTCCAGATCATCAAGACCTCTAGCCTTGTCGGTCAAAGCATCATCTCATACCTGCAGAAGAAGGGCTACCCAGAGATTGCGCTGCAGTTCGTGCAGGACCCCCAGACCCGTTTCGAGCTCGCCCTGGAGTGCGGTAACCTTGATGTTGCCGTCGAGATGGCAAGAGAGTTGGACCGCCCCAATCTGTGGAGCAGACTTGGCACAGAAGCTTTGGCCCATGGCAATCACCAGGTAGTGGAGATGGCTTACCAAAAGCAGCGGAATTTCGACAAGCTGTCCTTCCTCTACTTGGCCACGGGTGACCAGGAGAAGCTTGGCCGAATGGCCAAGATTGCTGAACATCGTGGCGATTTCACTTCCCGATTCCAGAACGCCATCTACCGTAGCGATGTTGAGGACAGGATCCAGATGTTCAAGGAAGTCGATCTTTGTGAGTCCCAAATCTAGCATTTTCATTGAAGTGCCTCGCTAACAGCTTGTAGATCCTCTAGCATACCTGACCGCCAAGACCCATGGGTTGACCGAAGAGGCGGAGTCCATCCTCGAGGCTTGCGGCCTCACGGAAGACCAGATCACTCTGCCCACTGGCGACGGGGTCCTACAGGTACCACAGCCTATCGTGCCGACTTTCAAGTCGAACTGGCCCGTCAAGGCTGCTGCCCATTCGTCGTTCGAGAAAGCGTTGCTCGGAGAAGTTGGCGCGGATGACGAATCTGCGGCTATTGGCTTTGAGGCTGAGGAAGAAGAGGAAGAAGCTGAGACTGCCGGCGAACACCTGGAAGATGAGGACGAGGACGTTGCTGGATGGGACATGGGAGACGAAATTAACGTTGAGGAAGATGTTGACTTCGTCAATGTGGACAGCGCTGAGGCGGGTGCTGGCAGCACGGAGGCCGACCTCTGGGCTCGCAACTCCCCTCTTGCCGCCGACCACGTCGCCGCTGGTTCCTTCGACACTGCCATGCAGCTTCTCAATCGCCAAGTTGGCGCCGTAAACTTCGCGCCTCTCAAGCCACGCTTCTTGGAAGTGTATAAGGCCTCCAAGAGTTATCTCCCAGCGACCCCCGGCCTGCCACCTCTGGTTAACTACGTTCGCCGGACTGTTGAGGAGACTGACTCGCGCAAGGTCCTCCCCGTTATCGCGAAGGATCTGGAGACCATTGCCAACGTAGACCTCCAGGAAGGCTACGCAGCCATGAGGGCCAACAAGCTCGAGGACGGTGTGAGAATCTTCAAGGATATCTTGCACTCTCTCCTCCTGAACACGGTGTCGTCAGAGGCCGAGGTTGAACAGGCAAAGAAGATCATCGAAACTGCTCGGGAATACATCCTCGCGATGTCGATCGAATTGGAGCGCCGGGCTGTTGGGACCGACACCCCAGAAAACCTCAAGCGAAGCCTCGAGCTCTCTGCTTACTTCACTATCCCCAAGCTGGAGGTTGCCCATCGCCAGCTGGCCCTGATGGCCGCAATGAAGCTTGCCTTTGCCAACAAGAACTACTCCTCGGCCCTCAGCTTTGCCAACCGGATGTTGGCAAACGGTGGCTCCCCTAAGCTCCTGGATCAGGTAAGTCAAACGATGAAGGTTATTATCTCACAGAACAAGATGCTGACCAGTACACAGGCAAAGAAGATCAAGGCTCAATGCGAGCGCAGCCCGCAGGATAAGATTGACATTGAGTTCGACCAGTTCGCCGAGTTCGATATCTGCGCTGCTTCCCATACCCCTATCTATAGCGGCTCCCCAAGCGTCTCAGATCCGTTCACCGGCGCCAAATATCATGAACAGTATAAGGGTACCGTGTGTCGGATATCCGACGTGACCGAGATCGGTGCACCGGCTAGTGGATTACGGTTGTACGTTCCAGGCCAACATTAAGGATGAAGGAGTCGGAAGATTGTCTGTCATGTAATTCTCTGTCTCCAATGTGAAACATATGAAGCGAATAAGTTTCCCGTGGGAGGAAGTTTAGTGTGGCGCTGGAGGAAGCCGCTTACTAGATGTATGGATTTGCTGTTTACACTAATTTCCCAGCGACGTTGTTTTATATTACCTTAACTTCTACTTTCGCAATGCAACTTCAAGATGTTCATGAAAAAAAAAAAAGAAAGAAAGAAAGAAAAAAGAAGAGTGGTTCATGTATACATACACAGAGAGAAGAGAGTCGTCCCACCATACCTGCAGTTCGCAGTAGAGTAGAGAGAATCATGCCAGCAAGCTATCGTACAAACCCGAACCCATCTATACTCTAATAAATCTATAATAGCCATCCATCAATTAATTAATCAATCAATCAATCACACCTCCCATCCTTCCACCCCGTCCTCCACCTCTCCTCCCAAAACCGACAATCAAACTCCTTCTTCCCCAACTTCCGATTGACCTCATTATGCGCCTCGCACATCCACGTCCCGAAATCCGCCCTCCCAGCTAAGCGCGGCTCGTTACGCCCACTCGGCTCCGCCATCCAGGTCCGGAAATCATCCGCACACACCCAGCACGGATACAAGCGCGAGAAGATCTTCAGGAACGTCCGCATCTCGCCCTGTTGTTCCTGCGTCGCTTTCACGGGGTACGACGCCGTCAGGGAATGAAGGAAGGTCCATGTTGAGCGGCCCAGGGCTTCGACGTCGGGGGGACAGTCGTCTTGCGATTGCGGCAGGGGTGTGGACTCGGGGACTGGTTTTGGGGCTGTCGTTGCTGCTGCTGTTGAGGTCGCGGTTTGGGCTTTGGCTTGTTTGGTTAGGTTGCGCCAGGATGCGGCGGAGGTGCAGAGACGGCAGCTGCAGGGTTGTTGGTTAACGGGTGTGAGCTTTTCTTTGGTTTGGGAATTTGAGGGGAGGAGGTATGTTGAGAGGGAGAATGATAAGACGTACGGTTTCCCATCTTTGTCGAGGATGACCCCGTTGGGCAGTTTCGTCATTCCGTTGGCATCTTTGCTTTCCTCGGTGGATGAGCTGGCGGCTGCGGGTGTGTGGTGGGGGAATAGGTTCTTGGGTAGACCGTGCTGTGACTCTGAGGCTGACATTGTGGATTTATTTGCTCTTCGCGAGGACGAGTCAAGCGTCGTCGATCCGTTGATTATAGATAGTAGTATCTCTGATGCTGTGCGGAGGTGCTCTCAGTATACCGCGGAGGTGCGCACGGGAGTGATCCGGTTCGTAGTGGCGATTCCTGAGATGTATATATACAGAGATTAAAAGAGAATACCCTCCCCGGGTTATATTTCAGAAGTTTTCCTGTTTTCTCCCCCGTTCTTTTCCCTTCTGGTTGTTGTACCGGACCCAAAAGTAAGCATAAATTTAGTGCTTTGTCAGCGGTGTCTTTCCCCGGGTTTTGCAACTCCCGGTGCCTGGCCAGGAACATCCCGCCGTTCTGGACGATAAAGCTAACTTAGTGGCGTGATTGTGTATGATTATTTTCTATATACGGCTAGTGATTGTTCGTGTCAATTCGTTGTTACGAGTTCGATTTCTGGATTTTGCGATATCGACAAGCTTACTATAGCTGCCCCAGCCGATAGTTCGGAATTAGCGTCGCGTCGCGAATTGCCCGCCTTCGACTCGGAAGTTACGAACTCGTCACCGAAGAGCGTATAAGACCAGAGCAAGGCAGTGCGGAAGACGAGATGGCGCCTCGACGCCGTGTAGTTTCCGATTCCGAGTCCGAGTCTGATGAACCCGCAGTCCCTTCGGTCCCTTCCAATGATGCGCTCGAAAAGGCTCTACGCGAGACCGTCGCGACAATTTACAAATCGGGGAATATGGAGGAATTGACGGTGAAGCGGGTGCGCATGGCGGCGGAGAAATCTCTCGGGGTCGAGGAGGGCTTTTTCAAAGGAAGCAGCACTTGGAAGTCAAAGAGTGATCAGATCATTAAGGATGAAGTGGTATGTTATGGGAACTTATTGCTATTGGCTTAGTCGTGTAGCTAACTGTTACGGGACCGCAGGAGGTACAAGATCAGCGGGCGCAAGAACCGGACTCAGATGAAGAACCGGAGGAGCAGGCTCCTCCCGCGAAGGCTTCTTCTGCAAAAAGGACAAAACTCGACAAAACTGAGACATCACGAAAGCGACGGAAAACGAGTACAGAACCGGAAGACCAGAGTGAAGACAGCGCGCCACTAGACGATGAGAGTGAACAAGAAGTGAAAAAGCCCGCTAAGAAGCAATCAAAAACAACTCTCAGAAATACTTCCAAACCGAAGCCTTCGAAAGAACAGGTGTCGGATGACGAGGATGTAGAGGACCAGAAGGATGACGCCGCACCATCGGAAGAGCCCGAGAAACCAAAAAATGACCGCGGAGAGGACTCGGAAAGTGAAATGTCCGTGGTTCTTGACGAAGAGCCTAAGCCGACCCGACGGCGACAGAAAAGCGCCGGTACCAAAGCTTCAACCCAGACACGGAAGAAGACGACGGCCACATCTAAAGCAAAGGACGCGGACCTTGACCCAGACCAAAAGAAGATAAAGGAGTTGCAAGATTTGCTGGTAAAATGCGGGATCAGGAAAATGTGGTGGCGACTGCTGGCTCCATATGAGACATCTAAGGAGAAGATCGGGCACCTTGAGGGCATGCTCAGGGAGGCAGGAATGACGGGGCCGTTGAAGGGAAAGGAAGCTGAAAGGAAAGCCTTGAAGATCAGGGAAAGGCGTGAGCTTCAAGCTGACGTCGTCTCGTGCCAAGAGGAGGTAAAGATATATGGCAAAGGCGGTGCCGACGAAGAGAGCGACAGCGGGCGACCAGGACGACGTTTAAACCGAGGCCGCAAACACCTTGCCTTCTTAGAAGATGACGGCGAGGAGACGGATTGATTGCTATACGCCCTAATCTTCCTTTTCATGCTTTTCTTCAACAGATTTGCCGGCGTTCTATTGTTCACGGCATATTCCATTAGCCACAGTAACCACAAGTAACAGTCTAAGTACACTTACACGGCGCTTTGTTTGCTCCCGAATAAGGTCTGCTATTCTTTGTTCTTTTGCAGTGATTTCTGCTCTTGCTTTCAGAAGCTCAATCCGTAAATTCAACATATATCAGACACCTAGGCCCCGAATCTTCAGATTAGCTTTTTCTCTGGAAATAACTCATATAGAGCTTACTTACAATTTCTTCATCTGATAGGAAGCGTGGATCTCTCCGCCGCAGCCAGCGGCGAATCGCGGTGGACGGTGGGGTTGAGGAATGGGAACGAGTCATCTTTAGTTCTTAGAAGACAGAGGGGACGGACAGAGAAGAGACGTGATGCGCGGTAATCATCAGAAAGACAGAAAGGATAGGAGCAAGAGAATCAGGCAACACCTGACCTAAAGCTCGCGTCCCAAAAGGAAAGGTGCGATCCATGGATGGCCCTGCCAAGTTTTATATCATTTTCCGGTCTTTGTCCCTCCCATACGTTGCGCGACTAAGCTGAACACTGCGACTGAGGAGATAAAGAGGACGAGGTTATAGAACTGTGGGGATCATAGTCAGAATTCCGACTCAATGTCCGGTTGTGGAGTTATCGATCGCTTACAGCAGTCCTGGAGTATTCGTTCTCCTCGGCCTCCGTTCTGGCCTCGACGAATAACCGCCGGAGATTGGGAAGATTTGCCTGACAAGCGGGTTAACAAGATTGAACTCGATCTAAGCATATATGAAGTTCATTAGAAATTCTTACCATGCGGTCGACGTGTACAATGCCAAGGGATCTGTGTCTGGAGTAACTGAGAAGTCGTGGTAATTAAGCTCCGCGGCCTTAAATGCTAAACGGCAGAGCCGCGTGTTTGTGGACAACTTTTGGGTCCAGACACATGATGAGACCCTTTCCTTTAATCCACTTCCACCTCATCTTCTCCGCTCTCCCTCAACGGCGCCCATTCCCCCCTTTTCCTTCGCAACCTGGGCCTTTGGGGATGACGCTTTGATTTTATCCTAATCTTCCCAGTCATTTGAAACGCCATATTGCCGACCCACCGACGGTATCCCTGAACCTCTTGTCGCCGCCAAATTCCCCGCAGTGGTCCGCAAGGACACTCTTGCATACTTAATTCCCACACCGTTCGTCGCTGTGGAGCTTGATTTCAATCACGATGGCTATGAGCAGGATACGCGGCGCCTTTGCGGTGCCTAGAAAAGGAGAAACATTCGAATTGCGAGCTGGACTTGTGTATGCACGCCGAATTTCTTGTCATTACGCGTTCCAGCAAGTGTCACTAACCAGCACTACAGATCTCAATATGCCTACGAACGGTATGTCTCCGGTTGACTGTCGATGATCTAGCACCTTTCCCGAATTCGATGACGATATCTGACCGGATCACAGAAAGGAGGCTATCCAAAAAACCATCATGGCCATGACCTTAGGAAAGGATGTATCCGCCCTTTTCCCCGATGTCCTGAAGAATATTGCGACGAGCGATCTCGAGCAGAAGAAACTAGTATACCTGTATCTGATGTGGGTGCCCCATGACTGTTTGGATGGTCGCTCTGCATGCTGATATTTGATGCGCGGCAATCAGGAATTACGCCAAATCTCACCCGGACCTCTGTATTCTCGCCGTGAACACCTTCGTTCAAGACTCCGAAGACCCTAATCCTCTGATCAGAGCGCTCGCTATCCGAACGATGGGATGTATTCGAGTGGACAAGATGGTCGACTACATGGAGGAGCCCCTCCGCAAGACTCTCCGGGATGAATCGCCCTATGTCCGCAAGACAGCTGCAATTTGTGTAGCCAAGCTTTTCGATCTCAACCCCGGAATGTGTATGGAGAACGGTTTCCTCGAGATGCTTCAGGAGATGATTGGAGACCCCAATCCCATGGTGGTTGCGAACTCGGTGACAGCGCTATCAGAGATTCACCACGCCGCGCCTGAAACCAATGCGCTCCAGGTCACAGCCAATACGCTACGAAAGCTATTGATGGCGTTGAACGAGTGCACAGAGTGGGGTCGAGTTACGATTCTCACAACGCTGGCAGAGTATCGGACTACTGAGGTCACCGAATCAGAGCATATCTGTGAACGCGTGGCCCCTCAATTCCAGCATGCCAATCCCAGTGTGGTGTTGGCCGCCGTCAAGGTCGTCTTTTTGCACATGAGGAATATCAAAGATGAACTCTCCAAGAACTATCTGAAAAAGATGGCTCCCCCCTTGGGTAATTTAGCCCCCTGGAACCCAATTATGGAGACGATCTAATGATGATGGCGAATTTCTAGTGACCCTTGTCTCGTCCGCCCCCGAAGTGCAATATGTAGCCCTGAGAAATATCGACCTCTTACTGCAAAAACAGCCGGATATTCTCAACAAAGAGCTCCGTGTGTTCTTCTGCAAGTACAACGACCCGCCCTACGTTAAATTCCAGAAGCTTGAGATCATGGTTCGCATTGCCAACGACCGCAATGTCGACCAGCTTCTGGCAGAACTTAAGGAATACGCCCTGGAAGTGGACATGGACTTTGTGCGGCGCGCCGTCAAGGCGATCGGTCAGGTTGCCATCAAGATTGAGAACGCCAGCGAGAAGTGCGTTAACACATTGTTGGACTTGATCAACACGAAGGTCAACTACGTGGTGCAGGAGGCCATTGTGGTGATCAAGGACATTTTCCGGAAGTATCCTGGTTATGAAGGTATTATTCCGACTCTCTGCAAGTGCATTGATGAGCTCGATGAGCCTAACGCCAGAGCTGCGCTCATCTGGATCGTGGGAGAGTATGCGGAGAAGATCAACAATGCTGGAGATATTCTAGCCGGATTCGTGGAAGGGTTCAATGAAGAATTCTCGCAAACGCAGCTACAGATTCTCACCGCTGTTGTCAAACTTTTCGTAAAACGGCCCGAAAAGGCCCAAGGACTGGTGCAGAAGGTCCTGCAGGCCGCAACGGCGGAGAACGACAACCCTGACGTTCGTGACCGAGCCTATGTGTACTGGCGCTTGCTCTCCAACACAAGCGACCCTGCTGCCACCAAGAACATTATGCTCTCTGAAAAGCCCCCAATCGTGACTACCATCCACTCTCTCCCACCAGCACTTCTCGAACAACTCCTCACCGAGCTTTCTACCCTCGCCTCTGTCTACCACAAGCCACCAGAGCAATTCGTCGGCCAAGGCAGATTTGGTGCTGACGCCGTTCAAAGGGCCGCCATCGAGTATGTCCCCCTTGATAGTTAGACTTGGCTTTTGCTCTCTTCGCTAACCATTCTTCTCTAGGGAACAAATCCAAAATGCACGGGAGAACCCATTGGCTGCGGCTGCAGCCGCAGCGGCAGTTACTGGCAAGGCTCCGCCACCCCAGAGTCAAAGCAACGTTGAAAATCTTCTGGATATCGATTTCGACGGGGGTGCACCAGCATCCGCTCAGAAGGAGCCAAGTGGCGGTATGTCCGGTCTTGAAGGCCTTGCCGGCACACCTGTCCGGGTAGAGTCTCCCGCGGTCGGTGCTCCGGCGAGCAGCAACAATCTGGACGATCTACTGGGCGTGTTTGGTGACGGCGGGGGCGCTGCAGCCTCGGCCCCAGCCCCCAATGGTAATGGTGCTAGTGCAGATCTCATGAATGGTTTCGCCGGGCTGGATCTATCATCGAACACGACATCACCACCACCGGGAGGAAACCAGCCCAAGAAGACCAACGAGGACATTTTGTCACTGTTCTAAATACCGCGTCGAGATGGGTGGGATCCAATATGTATAGCCGAAGACAGGTCCGCGTGGAGGTGCTTCAAAAGATGACTTAATCCTTGCATTCGGTATAGATTTCCACGGTCTTCATTATTTGATTTCGCCAGCCATGTTCGCTGTGACCCTTTCATCCTTCTTATTCTTCTTCACTTGTGATTACTTGTATATCCTGAGCATCCTTTTCTTCAATCTTCCATGTCTATTTCCCATCAATGCTAGGGACGAAATCTAGACACATTATCCCTTCACGTAACTTGAGCATTTAACGTATAACCCATACGGCACGAGACGGTAAAGGCAGGCAGATCCCGAGTCGGCCGACGGAGTCCAGTTCGACTCGGCCCACCATATCCTCGGAAACTTTTTCGAATGCCGAAAATACAAGCAATCCCGGAATTAGTCAACATTTAGTGCCGTTGGTCTCCAATTTTCTCTTCTTTTAAGTTCTTTTTCTTCCGTTTCTTCCCTCGTAGTGGAGCCGTTGGAGTTGGAGGCAGTGGAGGGACTCCATTGCATAGAATTGATTTGCTGCTTAGACAACATTTAGGTAATTGGTGTTCCGCGGTCATATACAATGCCAATGGCGTGATGATAGTGATTTGACCGGAAGATCTACTTTGAAGTGTCTTGGATACAAGCTACAGACCGTTCTTTGGATCTGATATTAAGGATTTGAATCCCGTCTCGGCGCATTAGTGCCGATCTTCAACGAACGAGACCGAGAATTAGCCGTCCTTGACGCTGAAAAATATATAAATAAAATAAATCACAAGAGAAAGAGATGGCGTATACTACAAGGAATATACATGCCATACCGACCTCCAATGCGCGCTCACATTGTACCTGACTCGCACAGAAACCTTAGAAAAATCCAGTTTGCCCTAAAAGACGAATCTCTCGTCCCGTGTACATTGAGTTTCACCGTCACGCACATACAATCAGGAGTGGAGACCATAACTTTCGAGGCCCGCAATATCCGCAGACCTCCATGGACTGTCCGGAGCAGAACCGTAGAGCCGTCGAGTCGGTATAAATGGCCCATGGGACCGGTTCCGGATCGGCTGGTTCCTTTCTAAACATCAATCCCCAGAAAAGGAACACCAGGCCAGCATGACGCAAACAGACTACAAGTTCGAAGGATGGATGGGCCTGGCGCCCGAGTCGGCAGATGGAAAGATGGTCTGGCAGGAGTTCGAGCCAAAGGAATGGGAGGAGACCGACGTCGACATTCAGGTCACCCACTGTGGTGTTTGCGGATCGGACTTGCACACTCTCCGCAGCGGCTGGGTAGGTTCCGTTCACATATTCAATGGGTAGGGAATCAGATGGCTAATGCTTAGCTCAGGGTCCTACCAAATACCCCTGCTGCGTTGGCCACGAGATCGTCGGCATTGCCGTCCGTGTCGGCTCGAAAGCTGTCGGCGATATCAAGGTCGGAGACCGCGTCGGCGTCGGCGCCCAGAGCGACTCGTGTCTGGGCCGTCTGGGCGATTGCCCCGAGTGCGCCATGGGCTGGGAGCAGTACTGCTCGCATAAGATCGTTGGCACCTACAACGGCATCCATCTCAATGGCGGCAAGTCCTACGGCGGATACTCCCTGTACAACCGCACGCCGTCCAACTTCGTCATCAAGATCCCCGATGCCATTCCCTCGGCCGACGCAGCCCCCATGCTCTGCGGCGGCGTCACCGTCTACAGCCCGCTGAAGCACAACGGCTGCGGGCCCGGCAAGCGCGTTGGCATCATCGGCGTCGGCGGCCTGGGTCACTTCGGTGTTCTCTTCGCGAAGGCCATGGGCGCCGACAAGGTCGTCGCTATCTCGCGCAAAGCAAGCAAGAGCGCCGATTCGCTCCAGATGGGCGCCGATACATACATCGCCACAGATGACGATCCGGACTGGGCTACCAAGTATGCCCGGTCCTTGGACCTGATCGTCTGCACCGTTTCTTCCTCGAAGGTAGGCATTGCACTTATCTCACACAACGTTAGAGAAGTCCCCAGAAGGCTAAATGTGTATCAGATGCCCATGACGGAGTACCTGGGTCTTCTTGCTACCAACGGCAGTTTGGTTCAGGTCGGTCTCCCGGAGGATGGGACGCTGTTCGCCAACGTGCGTAACCTTATCCGGCGCGTGAAAGTTGAGAGCTCTTTCATTGGATCTCCTCGGGAGATTCGGGAGATGTTCCAGCTTGTTGCGGACAAGGGAGTCAAGCCTTGGATTGAGGAGATCCCCATGAAAGATGCCAACAGCGCCATCGTGGACATGCACGCGGGTAAGGCGCGCTACCGTTACGTGCTGGTTAATGAGCAGTAATGTAGCTCAAGGGGGGACTTCACTTTGATTTGTACATGGATCGATAGACTTGGAGTATATGGTTTAGACAGATACCAATGGGATATGTTATAGACGAGTCACTCACTATTGTGAATACACTATGGACACCACCGCTGTGGGGAGCATTAGTTTTCAATAGCGAAGACCTTCATTGACTCTACAAGTGCATAAGCATCATTGTTCGCACAACTACCAGACTCTCCTTTGCTCAGAGATGTACCAAAAGTATAAAGACACAAATATTATTATATATTACTGGTACGGTATTATCTGACAAACGAGAAACCCTAGCGCCTTCCAACTTGTAACTTTTCTTTTTCTTGTAAGCAGCACAGATTGGGGGGATCAAATGTCAGGCGGTAATCAAAAGATAAAGCAAACCAAACTGGGATATTATAATGTATCGAACCGTTGCGCCTCTAACATCTTAGATGGCCGATGTCCAGATGCTGTCCCCAAGTGGATGGGTTTAGAGCAGGATCATCACACCCATTACGGCAGCCAAGAGACCGACAGTAGGCTTGACGGCCCGAGCAGCACCAGTGAGGGGTGGCTGAGTGGGCTGGACTGGGGAGACACCAGTGGGCGCGACCGGGGTCTCGCCAGGAGTGGTGGGCTGGATGGGAGTCTCGCCCGGAACGGTTGGCTGAACGGGAGTCTCGCCAGGTACAGTGGGCTGCACAGGGGTCTCACCAGGGACGGAGGGCTGGACGGGGGAGACACCAGTGGGCTGGACTGGGGTCTCGCCAGGGACGGAGGGCTGGACGGGGGAGACACCAGTGGGCTGGACGGGGGTCTCACCAGGGACGGAAGGCTGCACAGGAGTCTCACCCGGAACGGTTGGCTGGACGGGGGACACACCAGTGGGCTGGACGGGAGTCTCACCCGGAACGGTTGGCTGAACGGGAGTCTCGCCAGGTACAGTAGGCTGAACGGGAGTCTCGCCAGGGACGGTAGGCT